TAGCAATAAATCACATAGTCAGGTTAAAGTACAAGTCTATTTACAGCTTATTAAACTTACTATGTTTTGGCTTTAACAGGTGTGTTTTTAAATGCACTTCAGTTGACAATTTAATAGGTCTGATGCCAGACTTACTGATTGCTGCAAGAAGCGGTCAGCACACAATGGCACCTGAAAACTACTACTGAACAGTCATTATGTTTTGGTTATTATAAAATCTACATTTTTTCACTTAATGACCGGATATTTTATTAGATAAGCATTTGCCAGCAAAGACTGAACTGAAAAAAGGTCGGATCGATATTACTGGCATGAGAAGGAAGATTACAACAATGCCTTTTCCAGGATTCAAGCCCAGGCCCAAAAATATGGCAGCTAACACCATTAAATACCATACCAAACAGAGCAGCATAGAGAATGCTATAAACGTATTTTATACTAATTTATATTATTTGACACTAATTTATATTTAAAATCAGAGGGGGGATGAACTACATTCGCAAAAAAGGCAAAGCTTCTAAAGACAACATTCAAGGGAAAGAATACTGAATTTTCCTTAATCTCAACATTTTCCATAACAAATAAAAATTAGTGAACTTTACACAAATCCTACAACTGAGCAAACTAAAACAGTTGATAAAAAAATCTTATTTTTAGAATTAGATTGAGCAAACTAAAACAGTTGTAAAAAGATCTTATTTTTAGAATTAGATTAACTTTTTATGCAAATGTAATTTATAAATAAAATCCATTTTCTATTAGTATCTGGCACTGATGATATAATTTCACTTTCATAGCGATACAAAATATATACATTTAGATTTCAAACGACAAAAAGTATTATAATTATCTACATTCAAAAAATGGCTTACTGTCCTTAAAAAATAAAAGAAGGGATCTTAATTAAAATCTTAGTTATGAAGGTAAAGCTGCAACCCTAGATGGGCAGGTGGGTGTATTTCCCCCAATAAAATTATTTCTGTTTTTAAGATTTATCATTAGACATGTAAAATCAAGGATTTCAAATAAAGAAGTAATTTCAGTTTTTAACTCAAAGCAACACAAAATTTTCTTAAATGTAGCAAGAAATATAACACGAAGAACTTTTCTGCTGGTTATTGTTTATCTTCCCAATAGCAAAATGTTATAGTTGAGCTTCGTTTCACTGCATCTTTCTCATCATTCTGATACTATAAGACTTTTGTTCCATAATCAAAATGTGAACAAACCAGCCAAAGACAGAAATTGAAACTATAAAAAGTATATCAACGTCAATGCACTTTAAAACCTGAACTGTAATATCCTTGTGGAATGAGGTCACTTAAATTTTAGTTTAGTCAATCCAGGAATCATTTTGATAGGTAGACGGTAGAAGCAGACAAGTATGAGATTCTTAAATTTCATCGCTAGGAATGTTTTTGATCAAACCTGAGATCTTTAGTACACAATTCTCTTGTGCTTAGCCATATTTGAATGCTGTAGTATAATTTGAGTTCTTTCAAATTTAAGGAGATTATCATAACTTTTTCATCAAAACAGTATCCCTAATTAATAGAACTAGGAGATTAATTTCACTAAATTTTCTTCTGGAAACTATTTCCAAATTTGTTGTATAGTGGACTTACTTGTTTATGAATTTCTAAATTATGAACCATGTTTTTGAAAACTATTATTTAGGTGTGATGACAGTGCAAGTTGGAATCAATTTCATCAAACTGCATAAAATTTTGCCTTCTCAACCTTACATGCTTCTGAGAAAATCATCATATTGCATCGATCATTATTCAATACTCCTTACGTGACTATTCACGAAACTAAGACTTAACTAACAGCAATATTTAAATAAGTATGCCACTTTCATTGGCATGGGTTTTTTGATCTGCTCATGGCGATCTCTATTTAAACAGTACATATTAGATAAATTTGTATTATGTTTTACTATAGTCTCTTTTTCATAAACTTTCATTTATTAAGATGATATTTACAACATTAAAGAAAGTAAGCAAGCAAAATACTTTAAATTAGAAGCAAATATACCAAATGACAAAAAATTTCATGACTAGATAAAGCCGATTATGCCACTTAAGGGGTTAATACAGATAGTATGGAGACCAGTAACAGTAGCAGATCAGTTTTTAATGTATGCATTAAATTCAGTATAATGTTTAATATAATGAATGCTAAATAGTCTATCTTATATGTGCACATTAAGCTGCACTGATGTATGCATTAAGTTCAGTATAATGCTCAATGTAATGAATGTCAATGAGTCTTTATCTTAGAAACTTGAGAAAACATTGCTGAAAGCCGACTTATTATTTTTACTTAAAAATATACTTCTGCTTGATACGAGGCGTATTCGGAAACTAAGTACCATTTTGAAAAAAAAAAAAAAAAAAAAAAAAAAAGAAGTAAAACAATTTTTTCAAATCCAATTTTATTTTTACATGAAAATACATGTCTTAAACTATTTTTCAACATAGTTTCCGCCAATGATCAAACACTTGTCATAGCGGGTGACCAGTTTTTGTATACCAACGTCAAAGAAACTTCAAACTAAAAACAAGTTTCGATAACCATGACTCCACAGCATTTTTCGTGTCATCGTCAGATCCAAAGCGCTTGCGTCCAAGCTTGCACTTCATGCGCAGGAACAAGTGATAGTCAGAGAGCACCAAGTCCGGGCTGTACGGCGGGTGATTGAACTGCTCCCAATGAAACTGTCGAATTAACGACTGAGTGACACCAGGTATGGGGCCGAGCATTGTCGTGGAGCAACACAATTCCTTTACTGAGCATTCCTCTTTGCTTGTTTTGAATGGCATGCCTTAGTTTTGTTAAAGTCTTAATGGTTTGACCTCTGGGAAGAAATTCAGTAAGCAAAACGCCTTTCCTATCCCAGAATACAGTGCACATGATTTTTTGTGATGACATTGTCACTTTGAACTTTTGTTTTTTCGGAGAATGAGTGTGTCTCCACTCCATCGATTGTTGTTTCGACTCTGGTGTGAAATGACACACCCAAGTTTCATCACCTGTCACAATTTGGTTTAAAAAGTTTTCTCCCTCATCACTGTACTGCGTGAGAAATGTCAGGGCATTTGTCAAAGTCGAAAGAAATGTCAAAGTCGCTTTGTTTTGTGAACATCAGTGAGCATTTTTGAAACCCATCGGGAACACAGTTTGTGATAATTCAAGCAGTCAGACACAATTTCGAACAAAACAGTACGTGAAATTTCTGGAAATGCCTCTGAAAGAGTTGTCATTGTGAAGCGTCTGTTCTCATGAATTGTTTCATCAACTTTCCTTACCAAATCATCGGTGACAACAAAAGGCCGACCACTCCGAGTCTCGGCGTGGACATTTGTTCGACCTACATTAAACATTCTTACCCACTTTCTCACCACTCCATCACTTATCACGTATTCACCGTAAACTTCTGTTACTTGACGATAACTTTCGGCCGGTTTAACGTTCCTCGCGTTCAAAAATTTAATCACGGCACGAATCTCACAGTCAGCGGGAGAACTAATTGTCTTAAACATTTTGAATATGCACAGCAAACTGAAAACACAACATAGAGCAGCCAAAATGGTGACAATTGAAAGTCAATGAGCAAGAAAGACTAGTGCACATGCGCGGGACGCCTACCACAGCACTGCGACGGCGCTAGAATGAAACGGTACTTAGTTTCCGAATACACTACGTATATCTGCATTTCTAAAATTTTTGCCACCAGTGCCTCCCTGAATTCTAAAAATTTTCCCCTAGCACTACAGCACCTATTACACCGGCTCTAGTATCAGCCCTGACTTGAAAATGTGCTTTCTTTTTTAGTGTAAAGGAAAATGTAAACATTATATTCCACATATTTGAGTATTATAACTTCATATCTAGGAAAAATAGAAATTAAAACTGTAAACATAAAAAGCATGGTTATTGTTAACTACTTAGCTCCTAAACAGCAAATTCATGGAATATTTCTAAAGAGATTTAAAACATATATATGATGAAGTAACAGAAATTAATAATACAAAAATCAAAAGTAATAAATTTGAAATTTTACAGCTTTTCATATTTTCTTCAAATTTTGTTCAGTTATTTTTCACTAAATACTTATTTTTTGTATATACTTAAATGTAATTAGTGCTATCAAAAAAGTTATAAACTGTGCTTACTTTTGTCAGCAGTGTGACTTTTATTTAAGATACTAAGTCATTAGTATGAACGGTACCATCAGAATAAAGAAAATACATATGTTAAATGTATGTTATGTGCTTTCTTCATTCTGATGATGTTAAAAAATTTCATTATTAGTCATGCAATATAAATATGAAATTAAATAACTTTTAATTTTTCAATCAAAAAAAGGTTGAACTTTAACACATATTACTCCTTTTGAGACAAATTAAAAAATTTAAATGGAGGGGGGAATGAGGCTTTTTTCGGAGAAATTTCATCTAGTCACTCACCTTAGGAGCTGGCTATGCACCAGGGAACTGTTATCGAAATTATATAAATTTACAAATTTTTCAGGACAATTACTTCCATAATACTCTATTTTATTATCATAATTAAATTTTCTCACACTAGTATCTGATTTTATCACATTAAATGAAAGGTTCTTTGTTGTTGTTTTGAATCATTTGATTAGGTTCTGAAGGTATTTTGAAACAAAAGATGAAAATTAAATATAATTAAATATAATTAAATCAATGTTTATCTAAATTGCTAAAAATCTCAAATTAATAAAATTTATTTCGCAGAAGGAGTAATTTGTTAAAAGACAAAAGTATCAAATTACAATTTTACCATGTTGAATGAATAATTTACTGAACCACATAACAATAAATTAAAATATTATTTATAAAAATTTGCTTCTAAATCTCTATAACAAACAATTTGCAACTTTCAAAAAATGTATAAAAGCTGAAATATAGATTACAATAATTCAAATATAAACAACAATATTCAAAACAAAAAACTAACATGATGATTACCTGAAGTATGGAGAACAACCGCAGAATACAAAGCTATAACTGTATCATTAAGTTGGAAATCATTCAAACATTCCAAGAAATTAAATAACTTGGCAACAAATTCTTGCTATAAATAAATATTAGCATTTGTTAAAAATTCTCAATACAATCAGTCAATACATTCAAAAATATATCTAACATTTAGAGGATTTGATATCAAATTTCATTATATGTTAATATTACCTTTGATAATTTTAATGTACATTGCATCAGAAAACCTATATCTAAAAGATTACTGAAAACAACACACTCCCCCTCCCAAAAAAAAAAGCAAAAAGAGAGAGATAGAGAGATATGCAAGGTATCTATTAACACTATTTCAAATAAAATAAAAAAAAGTACAAATATAGTTACTAAAAAATTTAGAATGTGTTGCAGCAGTGGCCTCTAACTGATGGCTGCAAGCCACATGCAACCCCCAAAGCAATTTTATGAGGCCCACAAACACATTTTTGTTATGTTTTTGCTGTAAATATGGTAATAAAAGTTTTCAAATAAGGTTATGGAAACAACTAAAACAGTAAACTTTATCCACAGATGAACTCTGAATCATCAAACTTGTTGCATTGTTTGAAGAAATTGGAAGTGAATAAAAAAAAATATTTAGTTCAATGAGGCGAGGTAGTTATATTGAGAAGCTGCATTAAAGCAGTTTTTGAATTTGACCCTCAGCGTATGGTTCTTATGATTTGAGTGGCATTATCAAGTACTACAGTTCATGTGAAAATCGGAGGTGAAGATTTTTCGGTACTCTTCTGTTTATTGGGAGAGAATTCAGAAATGTTATGTATGTATACACAAGTGTGTATGGATGTATGTGTTCATGCATGCATGTATGTATGTATGTGTATGTGTATACATACACACATTTTTGAATCTGATCCTGATAACAGAAGAGTACTAATTACCCTCCCCTTGATTTCAATACAAATTCACTTTGGAAAACTTTCCTAGTGTTCTTTATTTCAACAACAGATAGTTCAACAGGGTCCATTTCACTGCAGAGAATTTGTATTAAAGCTCAGAATTTATTCATCAAAATATTCCAGTGATGCTTGCATGGCTTGTATTTACCATGTAGAAAGACCAGCTATACATTACCAAAACCCATAAAAAGACAACCTAGAAGACAGTGTGCAACATGTTGCTTTAGAAACAATAGGAAAAAAAAAATACATTAAAAAAGACTCATCTGGTACGAAGAGAGTTAAGTTGGATTATATTTTGTTACACACTTCAAGGTTTATCACACACAAAAAATTTGCATAGTAACAATAAGTGTGTAAAAACAGTGCTAATTTTATTTTTAGGGTCAATATAAACAGTTAGTAATATTTATACATAACCTAAAACTTTTCATCAGTTTAAATGTTTCTCTTTGGTGTGCATGTAATATAATATAAAGCAAGGTTGGTTTTTCTTTTTTATGAATTTTACATTTTCTCTTTCATTACAAAATTTCTGCAAAAATTTTTGTGACAAATTACTTAAAAATTAATAATATCATATGCATTCTTTAACTTGCAAATTATTCCTCCTGAAATCACATGCACTGTTAAATGCATAATTTGAAACTGCAAAAACAAATTAAAATTCTTGTATTATTTAAAAATTGTTTTTAAAGGTGTGAACAGTAATAAATAAAGATATTCAAAAAGACAGCCAGAGAGGACAACCATTAAAAAATCATCCCATATTTCAGAACTGGAAAGTATGAAAATTGAAGTGTATGTTGAAGGTTAATAAAAGAAATTAAAACCTTCATGACACAAACTAACTAAATAAAAAAACTATAGATGAGTTACATAATCATACATAGATTTAGCACTTTTTGTTGGCTTGACCAGATACTTATATATTCTCAATAAAAGGTTGCAAGAAAAGAATAAAATTATGAATGATAAATTGTTTCTATTAAAACATTTGGTACTATTCCGTTTTGAGGCCGTAAAAAAAATTGCATCGAAAATGTATGCTCAAAAGCGTCCATTTAACAGCGCACCAAATCTAGCGTACGCACTGATTTCAGATTGCGTAAGTTTATATAGTTCTATATTTCTTAAGATGCCATTGAAATATTAGTTTAATTTTTAAATCCTTTTTTGATATCCTATGGATTTCACAATTTGGGAATTGCCCATGACGAAAAGTCTGCAATAGAATTTTGGGTAAAGTGCAGAATCACTCACCGCTTGACACATTTTTAAGAATTGCACATACTCGGTACCCATGTACACATCGATCTATTTTCACTTTAAAAAAAATCCCAGAACTGCCCTCAAAACCTCAAAAATGGCACTGCACACACCCTTGACTTTATGTACACATTAACCTATTTTCACTTTAAAAGTAAAAGGAAATTGACAAAAAACCAATTGTTTTTAACCCTTGTAAAAAGCGGCAAACAAATAAGTGGGCGATTCTGCACTTTACCGAGAATTTTTTCAAAGAAAAGGCATTATTCATTATAGAAAATTATGTTTGAACAACAAACAAGATGAAACTATGCTTTAGCAATAACTCTGTAGCGAAATAGAGATGCAGGCATCCATTCAGTTATGTTTAGCAATTTTTACATAAATTATAATAATGATCTGAAATAGTTATTTACTTTTACGCTTCCATTCAGTGATGTTTATCCTTTTTTATCTAAATTATAATAATAAAAAAGTATTATATGAAATTAACCTTTCATCTAAATTAAAACATCAATCTTAGATAGTTATTTACTATTATATTTCTCTTCTTGCGTTAGGGTTGCCGCAATTATTTTTGGCAGCACTGGCATTAACAATAGTTTGGTGCATTTTATGGCCCTCAAAACCGAATAGTACCACATACTTAAATTGCAGTTACAGGAAACTTTACTTAAATAAAAATATTTTGCACATTTCTTACATCTTAGACCCTGTTCTATTATTTCAAATGAAAATTCTTACACATATGAAAAAAAAAAAAAAAAAAAAAAAAAAAAAGCATTATTATGTCTAGAACTTGAAGAAAGTGAAAAAATGGCACACTTATTTTAATTATTTGCAGTTCAATTTTACAATATAATATAAAGTAATGTGAATAATGTGCCAGCAATTTAGCAAATATAGTTAATTTACAAGTATGATACAAATCTTATTCAAGAACTGTTTGCCTGGAAGATGGTATACCCTGATATAACCATTAACATGATGGATGAGAAATCGTGATTCATCCAACGAGGAAACTGTCTTCCACTTATCCATGGTCCAGTTTCAGTGTTCCCAGCTCACTGTAGGTGTAGTTAACAACAATGCTTGGTCAACAGAGGAACACGAGTGGGATGTCTGCTGCACAGTCCCTATATCCAACAGCATCCGCTAAATTGAGTGTTCCAAAATACTTGTACTAGGACCTGGACTATATTGGGATGTCAGCTGAGCCATTGTTTGCAGCCTATTTTGCTGTACCAAGTGGGAGTCTCCGACGCCCTTTTTCTTTGATAATGCATGGACGTCCAACACCTTGATATCTACTGCTGGTTCACCATCATTTATCCACTTTGCATAAATACTAATAATGGCAGATCATGAACAACCTACCAGCTGTGCAGTTTCACAGATGCTCGTTTCAAGTCTTTGGGAAATTACCATCTGCCCTCTATTAAAATTTACTTAGATCAGCAGCCTTTCTCATCACTTGCAAAAGTAAGTGCAAAAATGATTCCTTCCCTTCTCCAGTAGCAGTTAAATACCATTCCCACTTAATCGTCAGCTCACCATGTCATGAGTTCATTGAAAAATGTGGGGATGATCATAATGTTTTGGCTCGTCAGTGTATATACAGACATATATACAGTCAAATTTCTTTGGCAAACTCGAATAGTGCAATAGCTAAATGAGGCATTCCTCTATGTGTGACAATAAACAGATGCTAAGTATTATAATAAATAATTATGGGAAGCACCATCAGACTTTTAGATTGCAATAAATTTCTATCAAGTATGTAAATTCTGTCTTTAAAATGAATTTAATTTGTCTAAAATAAGGAAAAATAACCTTGTGTTCAGCATAGATTTTAGTTAAGACTATCGATTTTGAGGGCAGACAGGCACAGGTTCCCCTTCACCAGGAGCAGAATAGCTTCTTCTACTGGTGAATTGGATTTTTTGAAGCTTTTCTCCTTCACAAAGATTGTACTCATTTAGTTAATTAATTCAACTCCAATCCAGTTCTTCCTAACACTTAATTCTATTAATATATAAAAATAAATAAAATTCTATTAATTTTTCAGTTTTTGGTACCATTTTTGTCGACAGATGGTGCTACCTTCTCGCCTGTTTTATTTCTTTTGGATATAAATACAGCCATGGTTTCTCTTCTGTTGCAGATTTCGTTGTTCCTGATGAAGAGGGACCTGTGCTTGTTTGCTCTCAGAATTGATAGCGTCTTGACTAAAACTTATGCCAAACACAAGGTTGTTGCTTTGCCTTATTTTATGCTTTGCTTTGCCTTATTTTATGCTTTGCTTTGATGCATTTCTCGTCTCTTTTTATTTTGCCTATTTTATAGTTGCACATTTATTGAAAATGACTAAATTAACTGTTGTAGCTATATTAATAATTTATTAAGAAACCGATTATATGATACAGTACAAAGTCCATAACCCAGACTCGTTGGGACTTCGGCGATTCCGGATAAGGGGTTTTTCCGGATAGTAGATCATCAATTTAAATCTGGTAAGATGACATGCAGAAATTACACAATTAAAAATATGAAACCGTAATTTATGAAATAAAGAGCAATTATGATCTAAAGGGTATCAAAGTTTACAAAAAAAAAAAAAAAAAAAAAAAAAAGCTTAAGATTTACTAATTCAGAAGTCAAACAACAAAAATCAGCGTTATACCTACAAAATTTTTCACAGAACTAGTTTCGATGGTTTTACCGAACCATCATCTTCAGCTGCAAAACCGCAAATGAACAAGATAGGAAATAATGATTGGATAAGATAAGAAAGCCTGGACAAGAATAAGCAAGTGGCGCCATCTGTTGGCGAAACCAGAACTAAAACATAATTTCTCTAAAAGCCGAAGGCAAATTTGGATTGGAATTAGGATCGTTAACTAGAACGGAAAGATTTTTTATGAATGTGAAATGCCTCTAGAAAATCAGTTCTCGAATGGAAGATGTTTCTTGAATAATTTTGGCAGCAGAAAAATTGAAAGTGTGATTTTCGGACCAACAATGTTGAGCAACAGAAGACTTCTGTGTTTCCTTTTTCTAACATATGCCTCAGTTCTTTGACGCGAAATTTTAAGGCTCTCTTAGTTTGGCCAATGTAAATAAACCACACTGGCAGGAATCCTATAATACCCCAGGAATTCATATCCGGAATGGGGGTCCTTGAGTATAGAAGTTGGAATTTTATTGATGGGAGAATAAACAACCCGAAAGTTAAATTTCTGCAAAATATGTGCAACTTTATAGCTAATTGATGGAAAGAAGGGAATAACAACAGAATTTTTTTATAATCTCCTAAAATAAGAGTGTGGCTTTTAGTGTGTTGAGATGAGAATTTTTTAACTGCTTGATTAATAATGTTAGGTGAAAAGCCCCTGTCAATAGCTATTGCTTTTAAATAATTTAGTTCTTCATCAAGGGCTAGTTTGGAGGAGCAAACTTGAAGAGCACGGAAAACATAGGAATAAAATGAAGCTAACTTTTGTTTAGTCGGATGACATGATTTAAAGTGTGGTGGAAGGCAAACCGATGAAGGTTTACGGTAAACCATAGTACTGAAGTTGGATGTGTTATGTGTGACCAGAAATGTCGAGAAACGGAAGAGAATTGCAAGTCTCAAGTTCAAAAGTGAACTGAATAGCAGGATCAATAGGAATTCATTGTTGAAAGAACTGTTATTTAAATCATCTTTATTACCTTCAAACAGGGTAAAAGTATCATGTCTACGTAGCGGAACCATGCCAGGAAGTTTAAAGTTTCAAACAATTTTTGATTCATAATAATGCATGTAGATATCAGCCAACATAGGACAACATAGTCAACATAGGACTGAGGGGGCTTCCCATGGCTAATCCCTCAGTTTGTTTGTAATATTTATTTTGGAAAACAAAATGTGTTTGTTTCAAACAGAGTGAGTGAGAGAAATTAGCTCCTCAATTTCGATGCAAGAGAAATGAAATTCGCAAAGTCTGGTTTCTAGACATCTTAATGCACCCTCCACTGGGACATTGGTGAATAATGATTTTACATCAAAAGAAACCATGAGTAAATTACTAGGAGAAATGTTTTTAACCCTTTTTACAAACTCTATTGAATTTTTTATGGTGTAAATGTTATTGTCTAATAGAGTGGAAAATCTAGAAACCAAATAAGCTTAAGATTTATTAGTTTATTTTATTAAACATTTCTTTCAATGCAAGTTGTTTAAGTTGCTTTGTTTTTTGTGCTAATACTTTCTCTTTAATTCTATAAACAGACATAATTTCTTGTTCAGTTACAAAGTTCCACTGTTCCAAGTCCTGTAATTGCTGTGTCGAGAATACCGACTAACTTGTCAATCGAAATGTTTTCGTTTTCAATAACCTCTCTGTCAGTTTCTTCACTAGTGATGCATACATAAAGCATACCCCCCCAAAAAGTAAGTTTGTAGTTTTGAGGTCCAGATTATAGATCATTGCGGATAATGGACGTCCAGATTATGGACTTTGTACTGTGTTAAGCTAAAATTATATCACAATAGAACAGTTAAATGCCATTGAAAAAAGCGTTTAGAAGTATTTTTTATATAAAATGCTCATCTCAGATACCTTTTACTTGTCTTATTCTATGAATATTATGAACATATTATTCTAGAAAGGCACATTTTAAATCAATTCGTATAGTATACTCTTTGATTTTCTATGTTAGTAGACTTGAGATATTTTTATTGTTGTATAAGTTTTCCTAATTATTTAAATTATGCTACTAAAACTATAAAGTTTTTATATTAAAAATTTTCTTACTTCATATATTGCTTCTAACTGACGACGGGAAATATAGCTACCACTACAGAAAGTTATTGTGCCCTCTGCTGGATTTGCAAGACGGGATACATGGACAAGCCAAATTTCAAAAAGTCCATATCTAATGCACATAATTCGGTCATGCAAATTCAGATTGCAAAAGTCTGGTATATGAGATGCAAAATAAATTAAAGGTTTTATTGATGGTGCAAGATGAGCTGCCAGATGACTCCACAAAACAGTTTTCTCCAAATCTTTTGCAGAAACTATTTCACAATTCTTTAAGCTCTAGAAGAAAATAAAATACAAAGTCATTATTCAGAAATAATTAAATAACACAAATATTTTCTTTGATAGAATGATTTGCTTTGTGTCTTATATTTATTTAAAGGGAAAAAAAAAAAAAAAAAACAGCATTATTGCAGATCTAATATTACCGTGACTAATGTAAATAGAAGATACCTCTAAAACATCAAACAATTTGAAAGAAAGTGGTGCTTTAAATACACATAGCTTGGTATGTAATGCAGATCTCTTTCCACCTATGACTAATATGAAGCTACTTTTGAATGAATTATTCATTGATCTCTGTAAATGAAAGTTAATTATTTATTAAATGACAAAAAGTCCAAAATATGCCCCCCCCCGTTTTTTTTTTTTTGCTTTCTCATAGCAAATACCCAATTTTAATAAAACCATAGAATAAAGTAGAACACACAAGATTTCTGTTCATGTTCTAATTTCAAAACATGAACAATAATTACCTGATTTTTGCTGAATGCAAATAAGTAGTAGATATTCAATGAAAATGAAAAGGAAGCATTACCACTAACCAATCATGCAACTGCTTTAACAGGTCATAAGTATACCACTCAAAAACTATTTGTTGGCAAGAAGTATAGGCACTGAGCTGCAGATAGGCAGATGTACACAAAATCTAAATATTTATTTAGAGAATAACCCTGCTTGTTAGGTCTAGGTTACTTACTAAATTGCTAACATACATGATAAGAACTATTTGAAAAAAAAAAAAGGGAGGGGAAAGATGAGAAAAAATAAATCTATTTCTGAAAATTCTATTTACAGAGAAGTTAATGATTTCACGAAAGATGTAATTTTTGGAAGAAGCTGGCCATGGAAATATCAGAAGTGTTTTTCAAGTATATGACAAAACACCATTCAGTTTCTTATAAAGCTAACTTTACTGTAATTACCTTAATCCTATTTTTGCAATATAATTTTTATATACAAAATAAAATTACAAAAAGTATTATTATATCCCCCAGTACTTACTAATTTTACTGTTTGAAGACTGAGAGGGGGAAAAATATGCGATGCATGCTATTTCTAAAGCGGCAGATTAAAGGATTAACACATTAAAAAGCACCCTAATATTATTACAGTTTATAAGTTAAGAAATATAAATTTTAACAAGATTCTTTTTACGTACACAAAACAACTTTCTACTTGTGCATGCATTCTACATTATTATCATAAATCAGAAATTGATAAATCACGTTGAAAGAACTGGGAGTGGGATACGTGAGGGTGAGAGATATGAAGTAAATATGGTATTCAATTATAGCTATAATAATTTATATGGATACGGAAACATGCCAGTGAAAAAGTGAATCAATGCATGTTATAACATAGAAATAAAGAAAAAAAACAACATGAATACTTTCCACTTTCTTGGGGGTATTAAAATACTTACATGTAATAGTGGTGTTCTAACTAGGTCTTGAATTTTTGATTTTATATACGGACAGTGTGCTTCATGAGCTTCAACAATCAACTGAATGATATGCTCCATGACTGCCACTAGTTATAATGCTTTGGATAATTTTAATTTAACTTTTAACCTAAAATAAAGGGAAATCATCAGATATATGAATAAACAATGGCAACAAATCAAAATATCATTTGAAATAGCTTTCAAGTCAAGACCAATAAAACATATAAATTTGAATAACACAAACACACACACAAATGAATAAATAAAAATAATGATTTTGTTTTAAATAAAACTAAAAATAACAGATATAATAAAATCACCTTTTAAAACAGAACACACATGCGCGCACACACACCACACAAAAAAAAAAAAAAAAAAAAAAAAAACTGCGGGAATATCTGCAGCCCCTTAAATGTCCTGAAGTCAATTGAGCCAGTGCCGTTTGGTCCTTCCTGACCTGTTTGAAACCAATAGCAGTTACCAGGACCTGTACTATGATACCATGAGTGTGTTGGTAGCTGTTTCCAAGAACTCTTAATTAAAGCCTTCTTAAGTAAGTTTAAGGTAAGTCAAAGTTTCAGCATAAACCTAAAACTCACACTACTATAATTTCCATTTTCTTGCATTAAGACTGATAGTAATTTGCTTGAAGACCAATATAAAAGTTTGCAAAGAAATAATCTTATAGAACCTAGAGTGAGGCATAAGAAAGCTGCATTTTCCTTTGATGTTCTACTTATGTATTTATTTTAGAAGAAAGAGGAATTACAAGTTGAAGGTTCAAGTAAGCCATAGGAATTTTAAATAACAATCTAATAAATAGTGAAAGATGTATTAAATAAAACCCTTGAATTTGTTATTATTATTCAACTGAGTCATTATTTTTATATTAAAGATAACAATTTTTATTTCCTTCCATAAAATATTTTTCACAAAATTTTTAACAGTATATGGCTATAAGCTGAGCACACATTTTTTAATGACAGATATGTAGTTCATACAGTTTTTTATTCATGTACATATTAATTAAAATTTTGCTGATTAATATGGATAAAACATTATAGTACTCAGTTAATATAATTTCTGTTATTTTTTATGAAAATTCTTTTTTAAGTATCGGATGGAATTAATATCAGAGCTGTGGAGTCGGAATCGGGCAGATTTTGGGTAAAAGGAGTCGTGGTCGACTCCAACTTCAGTTTTTATTGGACAGTTTAAATTTGAAATGAAATTTAAATGACTTGAAAAAATTAATGACAAGCTGAGTTATTATTTTTATTTATGGACTATATATACATTAATAAATATTAATTTTAACAAACATGTATATAGTTATTTTCTATTTTATTGACATATTAATAAATATAAGGTAGAAGGATGGATGTGATATTTGCCATTAGTGATTAAACTGATTCATTTAATTATAAATTTCACTGGTAAATTTAAGTAAGCAGCAATAGCAGCAAAAACTCCCAAAATTGATGCCATTCTTAGGAAGCGAGCAGGAAAAGGAGCAATTATTGATCAAGCAATGCAATAAGGAAGTACATAATTCAGAAGTCAAACAACAAAAATCAGTGTTATATTTACAAAATTTATAAATATAACGCTGATTTTTGTTGTTTGACTTCTGAATTAGTATTTATTCGGCATGTTATTGTGTCTTAATTAAGGAAGTACATATTTGATGATAAAGAGGTTGTTAGAAATAAAAGCTTTTTTTAGAAGATGTAGATAACCCTAATGTTTCACTAACAGAAAAACAGTGAAATGAACTTGCAGAATTGGAAACTCTTCTTTCTACATCGTATATAGTCACAAAAAAGCTGCAATCTGAAGAATTGATAGGAGACGAGAATGGAAGAATGTGTTGCTTGTTCTTGGAATGGAGGGTTTTTTGCAGAAGGAATAATTTTTTCAATGAAGAAAAGAAAAACTAGTTTGCTAGGCAATGAGATCTTGTTGGGTTCAATATATGTAGATCCAAAACACTGAATTTTCTTGGATGGCGAACAAATTAAAAAGGCAAAGAAAGCCATCTATGAACTTTCATTAAGAATGAAAATATTCTCAGAACAATTACAGAATTTGAATCAGGACAGTCAAACTACAGACGTTGCATTTAAATCTCTATCATCCTCTTCCAATGATGAATTAGATTTTGAGAAATATTTTTGGATAATATTGAAAAGGCTAAGGCAAAGTGAATGAAAATAAAGAACCAAGATCCTTTAGATGAAAAAATAAAAACAAGATTTCTACACGGCCTTTGAAGAAATAGAAAAATATGATTGCGCTTGCAAGACACCTCTGTTAGAACTTTTATAACAAATCGTATTTATGGCCCTTCAACAAAGAAGATCTTGTCGAAGCTGTACTGTTTCTTAGAAATAACTAATGGCAGTTTTTTCATTTCATAATAGAGTCAAAAGTCGTTAATCCGGACTCGTCGGGACTTTGGCGATTCCAGATTATCGATTTTTCCGGATTATAGATCATCTGTTTAAATCTCGTAAGATGGCATGCAAAAATTCTAAAATTAAAAATATGAAACCGTAATTTATGAAATAAAGAACAATTATGATCTAAAGGGTATCAAAATTTACAAAAAAAAAAAAAAAAAAAAAAAAAAAAAAGAAAACTTGATATTTATTTGTTTACTTTATTAAACATTTCTTTCAACGTAAGTTGCTTTGTTTTATGTGATAATACTTTCTCTTTAATTCTATAAACAGACATAATTTCTTGTTCAGTTACAAAGTTCTGCTGTTCAAGTCCCGTTAATTGCTGTGCCGAGAATACCGACTAACTCGTCAATCGAAATTTTTTCGTTTACACTAACCTCTCTGTCACATTCTTCATGTCTTTATCCATTTTTTGGAGCAATTCCACTTTTTGTTTGTTGGACATCAAAACATACTTTCGTTTTGTAGATCCTCTGGAAGTTCCAGCATCGGAAATTCTATTTGACTTAATCGAAATTTCAAGTTTACTTTTATAAAATTGCTCTTACAGTCTGCAAAAAATAATAAGTGGGATCCAATTCGAAGATTAAGGAACAACGCCATCATCAACATTAACTGAAATAGATAATTAGATAATTTTAGCTTATACCGTCCGTTATACATAAAACGCGCACCCGAAAACGTATTCTACGCTTGCGCACACGCATATGCGCAGTCGTAAAGGTCTTACGCGCACGCGTAAATGCCTATGCGCATGCGTCAACGAGGCGCGACCATAAGAGGTAAAATCCTGCACAACTACTTCAAAGCTATTATTTAATTCAGCATAGTAATAGAGAAAATAAAGGAAATTATCTCCTAGGAAATTTAGAATGCAAAAGTATGTTATTGTGGCAAAAATTGCCAATAAAGAAATCATTTTTGAAAGCTAAAGTGCACTATTGGGTTTAATCCTAGTATATGGTACACATGGGGTTTGATGACATTGTGATGATCCGTAAAGGCGGCATTTATGATGAGTAGTAAACGAGTCATTTTGGTGTTGGCGACAATTTTCAAAATCATGCCAAGGCTATACCGTATACTAGGATTTTACCCACTATTGTGGAAAAATAGTAGAAGAAAAAACAGAAGAATCATTGCTGGTTCCATAGAAAGGTCATGACTTTTCAAGGGGAATTGAAATCTCTCCATACAACCATCAAGACTTCGTGAAAAGCGCGTTTTGTCATCTCGCAAATCCGGAAAAAAAAAAAAAAAAAACCTTTTAACTAACACTTTAACATAACTGAATTTCATTTTACAATCTATCAATGCCTCCAGAAAATCAAATTTGCTAGTGGAAGATGTTTTTTGAATAATTTTGGCAGGAAAATCCGATTTTCTGACCAAAAGAGCATTTACGTGTTTCTTTTTTTCCTAACATATGCCTCATATTCCTTAGCATGAAATTTTATTAAATTTAATTGTCATTTGCACTTTTGTAGCTGAAGAAGAAAGTTCTATATTTAAACTTTTGAAACTAGTCCTTCACATTTATGAATAGTATGATGATTTTTTTTTTTTTTGGCTTTAACTCCTTCAATGGGCATTGAAAGGTTTATTTTAAAATCTTGATTTCCATTCTGCTCAGTTTTTGATAATATGAGTGTTGTTTTCCTTCTCTCCCCACTTATTTACACCGCTTGACAATTGCTAAGGAACAGTTTTTTTCATCCACCTAATGAAAGACATCATTTAAAGAAATAAGATCTGCCACATATTTGACAGAGGTCCTGAATTACTGTGCAAAATGATATAGATATCATCACATGGTAAAATAAAATAAAATAAAAAAAGATACTCGTTAGAAGTATTTGAAATAGTTATGAAAATGCTCTTACTGCTGGAAATGAGATCTAATAAGAGTCTGAGGTTCTGATGTGTATTTGGCACCTTATACATATGCAGTTTACTACACTATTAAGGGAAACTTAGAGGATTCTATTCCATCTGCTTCTTAGGACAATTTTGAATTCCTGTATGATTCAAGAAGGATTCTATTTTGAGCAATATGTCTACCTAGTCCATCCCTAACATGCTCAATGGAATTTAGGGCCAAGGAAGCAGGCAATGTCATGTGCTTAAAATCTGCTTCTACTAGTGTTAAAAACTTAAGTTATTCCTATGCGGGTAGGAATTCCATATATGAATGGACCAATTTCACCATAGAAAAGACAGACTTATCCAGGGAAGGTTTGGTATAAAACTGCCGTGATGTCATTATACCACTGTGCTGCCTACACAATCAGTTCTTAGTCAGTAATCAGCTTACCACATTTTCTCACGATGGCAATGAAATTTCCCTATTTCTATAATAGCTGGTCAGAATCACTGTTGATAATGAAGAGGAATTTGTCAGTGAACATGATTCTGGACCAGTACTACTGAATTCAATGAATAGGTTCCTTACATCAGTGTAATCATTCCTAACAATGGTATAGCAAAATGCATGGAACAGGCTTTCATACATATTAGTGAACATTATTTAGTCACTGAAAAATAATTCTCACAGATACACGAGTGCTGGTAACACTGAAAAGATATGGCCAGGAGTAGCATTTCTGTTCCCCCTCTTTTTTTTTTTTTTTTTTTTTTTTTTTTAACTAAGATAATACATAAT